CGGCGGTGCGGCGGTGTGATGGCAACTTTGACGAATCGTTCTGGCGGCAAGGTGCAAGTGAGGCAACGTTGTGATGACGCCTTCCTGACTGCTTGCAAACAGCGCCCCCAAGAAAATTCCACTCTTGTATGCACATGTCCGACACGATTTTTCTGTTAGCTTTCTTTCTTTCGCGGTTTTGGTTCGATCAGGGTCTTACGCTAGCCGCGGGAGCCTCAGACGGCACCGTCCGGCTCGTCGACCTGCGCACCGCTCGCGAGGTGGGGGGCCCGCCAAAGAAAGCCTACGCCGGCCCGACCCCCCCGTCAGGCGGGGTTCGAGCCCTGGCCTTCCAACGGCAACCCCCCTCCAGGAGCACCTCCGCCGCCGCCGCCGCCGCCGCCACCGCCACCGCGCCCGGCGCTGCCGTCGCTGCTAACGGCGGTGGCTCGACGAGCGCTAGAGCTTCGTCGTCGTCGTCGTTGTCGTCATCATCGCGTCCGCGACGTCCCGCCGCCGCCACCGCCGGGGAGACGCTACATTCGGCACGGCCAACGCGAATGTCGAACGGCGGTGGAGGAGGCATTGACGGGGGGGGGCGGGGTTATTACGGCGAGGAGTCTGGCGGCGGCGGCGGCGGGCGGCGGCGACCATTGACGACGACACCGGCGGTGGCGACGGAGGTTGCCGGTGTCGGGGACCCGGCGGGGACGGCGGCGGCGAAGGCGGCTAAGGCGACGCTGCACTTCTCCGCGGGGTTACACGGCGGGCCAAGCCAGCAGCAACAGCATTACCACCACCAGCCGGCCGCGGAAAACACGAGCAGTAGCAAAGGCAACGGCGACGGTGCTCCTGACGCCGGCGCCAACGCCGTTGCAGCCGGAGTTCCAGCGGCGGCGGCATCGTCGTCTCGGCAGCGGCTCCAAGACCCGTACGGGTTCCCAAACGAAGCGGCGGCGGGGGTGGGTGGGGGTGGGGCACCGCGGTATGGTAACCAGAGCGTCGCCCACCCCCCGCAGGAGAAGAAGGAGGCACGTTGGGGGGGTGACGATGATCACTACGGCAGCAGCAACGGTGCTCCGGCGCCGCGCGCGCAAAACTACGGCGATTCTACTGCTGTGGCGGCGGCGGCGGTTGTCCCAGCAGGGAGGCCTTGGCTCAACAGCAGCAGTCCCGAACGCGTGGCGGCGGGTTTCGATCGACGGAGGCGGGAAAACGGCGGCAGTCTTGACGTTGCCGGCGGCGGGATGACCACGGGCGAGGGAGACGAGTGGGACGTCCAGCCGTCTACAACGACCTACGGCAACAAGAGCGGCGGCGAGTATGACAGGGCGGCGGTCTGTTCGACCCCGGACTCGAGGGGGGCGCGGGTGGACGCGGGGGGCGGCGGCCCTGGCGGCCGCGGGACTCGGATGAACGGCGACAGCAGAGCAGGGAGTGGTGTGTTTTCGTCTCCTTCGGGGGCCCCGAGAAAACCGGCGATGCACTCCGTAGGTCCATCTACAGCTGAGGGAGTGGGGCAGACGGGGGCGGCGGTGGTGGCAGGGGATGAAGAGGCGATCGTGCGGCGAGAGCCAAGGGGGAAGGAAGGTGCTGCGCCGACGTCTGGTGGCGGGCAAGTGGTTTCGCTGGATAGGTGCGTGCTTCGAGGACTCACTGTTATAAGTCGGCGTGGGGTAGGAAGAGCGTCTCAGCCTGTCGGGTGTCCTGTCTGGTGTTGGGGCGGCGAGACGGCGGAGAAGGGAACTTCTTTCCACGTGACCCCGCTGTTGGGGTGTTGGCTTTCTTGTGCGATGGGGGTGGGGCAGAATGCTGCTCTGCATGCCATGCCCTGCGATGTCCCCTCAATCGCCCCTCACCGCTAGCCCAACTTGTGATGTAGTCCCTTTCACTAGTCGACGTCATGCTTGTGTCGATTGATCCCAGGACCGTTTTGTCACGCACGTCTCTCCTCGCCACCAATGTGGTCGATGCTCTTGCTGGACCAGCCCCTTGATCGTTCACGATTCGACCCGCTTCGGTGTGGTGGTTGTGATGGTGGCAGGTCGGTGCTGGAGCAGGTGTTGTCGAACCACGTGTCGGTGCTGCGAGAGGAACTGCGGCAAGAGCTGCGCAATCTTCACGTGGACATGCTCCGTCAGTTTCACTCTCTCCAGGTGCTTGGTTTTTTTCGGGGACAGACCTCAGCCGAGATCCCGGTATCCGATCCCGTGTGGGGTGACCCCACTTCACCCGAGTTGTGCGGTGGTGGGTGTGTTTTTGTTTCGCGGTCATGTGTGGACTCCTTGGTTTTTTCCAATGTCAAACAAGCGGGAGGCAATGGGTCTTCGTTAGGGTGACCTCTGTAAGAGACGGCTTGACTTCCTCCTCATCGAGGGATGCTGAAGCCAATATTCACCGCTTTTTTCACCGCTTTGTGTTGCAACCGCAGTAGACAGCAGTTCGCCAGAAAACGAGACAGCAACAGCACAGAGTACGGGAACACTTACCAATAGCACCGTCCAACAGCGGTGCTCAGGCGTTGAGTGCACCGTAGATGTGCGATGCAGAAGTGCTGCGGACTTTGTAATGCTCTTATGAATACCACATGCCTAAACCTGCGGCACACCTCCTCCAATTATTTCATCGGGCCACCTCCTGATGAACGCCTGCAGCAGTGCAGCAGTTTGATGACGCTGCACTGACGACGACGCCATGCCTTCTTTTGCTGAGCAAGTTAATGCAACATGGTTCGTGTTAATTTTTTTTCGTTGTTTTGTTATTTTTCTGCTCTCGCTTTGTCGCGGACACACGACACGCACTTGTTTTTTTCCCGTAATTTTGTGCGTTTCTGCTCTCGCTTTCTCTTGCCGCTTTGTCATGGACACAGGACGAACAATCGACGGCTCTGTCGGGGTTCGAGGAGCGCTTGGGGGGGCTCGTGGCGGAGAACCAGGCCTTACGGGCGGAAAACGATAGACTCAGACGGGTGTATTAAGTAGACTGCTGTGGGTCCTGCTAGTGCTGGTGCTGCGGTGGCGGCGTAGATTCGAAGAGCGGGGAGGGAGGGGGGGGGTGTATAGCTGATGACTGTTGCGGTGATGGTGTCGAGGAGAATGATGGACTCAACATCAACGTTTCGAAACTGAGGGCCGATGGCGGTTCTCCCGAAGCTTCTCCTGTGCTCGTGTTTGTCGGTGCTTGAGTGTTGGTGTTCTTGTTGGCACCTGGCGCCGTTTTGTCTCAACGACCGTGACTCTTTCGTTGGTCTTTTCCTGCGGACGGGACGAGGGAGGGAGTTCCTGGAATAGTTGGCCGTGCTCGCTTCTGCCCCTGCCGCCGCCACCGCCACCGCTGCTGCTGCTGCTGAGGTAGACGGACCCGCAAGTACCGGCGTGGGTTTTCCTTCCGTATTTGTCGCTTTCCCCCC